CCAGTTTCAGCAGGGTAACATCCGCTACCCCCTCTGCAGACAGGCTCTGGTTGCAGAACTTGGGGTGGCGGACGACCTTACTCACATTTGTCAGGGTGTCATGGTGATCGAGTCTCAGCTGCCCAACTTGAACCCTGAGGCCATAAGCCTCCACGTGGTCCTCCCTGGGTGAGGGACCAGGAACCTCTCAGAGGAGCCCCTGGGGCAGGGCCAGTGTGGGCACAGCAGCAGGGGTGGGGCTCCCTGACAGTGGCTTTTCCCAGACCCAGGACCCTGCCAATAGCCCACCACCCATCACCCCTTCGTGTGTCCCTCCCCACCCCTGCCAGAGGGCCTCGGGCTGTGTGGCTCATCCCCCTGGGTGCAGTGGGCTGTGGTCAGCACCCACTGGGGGTGGATGAGGGAGCCCCCACAGGTGCTGCCACTGCTCCAGCTTCTTATTGTACCATCGCACGCTGACCTGCCAAGGCCATCTGCCAGCGGGGGCATTGTGCGCCCCCACGGTGCCACCCCGCTGCCTCCCTGAGCCTGGACCTGGGAACAAAGGGAACAGGGGACGCCATCTTAGACCTCAGCAGGGCCCCTCGCACTCAGTCTCCCCCAGGAGGAACCAAGGAGTCCCGCCCTGAGTTGATGCTCAGGGACGGGGGCAGCCTGAGCAGAAGATGGGGACAGGGAGTGAGGACTCACCTGGCAACAAGGCCACGGAGCTCCCCAGGCCTGGGAGGCTCAGGAACAGCAGCCATAGCATCTGCGGGGATGGCAGGGGCCTGGCTGAGACCACCAAGGGCGCGGGACCTGGTGTGGATGGAGAAGCTGGAGTCTGTGCAGGGGCATCCTCACCTTGAGAGACTATCCTTAGGACCTTTTTTGTACCCCTTCATCCCCTGCACAGGCAGGGGCAGGTGGGGGCTCCCTGGCTGGGCCATGGGCAGAGAGAGCTTCTCCTCTCTCAGGCCCACCCCAGGTCGAGGGGTCATTTAGCAGACGTGGAGGAGCTGCTGCTGGACCCTTGGCGCTGCCTCCCCGGACCTGCCCCCTGGCTGTCACTGGGCAGCAGCCCCCTCTGGCTGCAGGGATCTCAGCCACAAACCCAGCCAGGCCACGGCATGAGCAAAGAGAGCGTGCCAGAGGAGCAGGTTTGCTGGCAGAAGTCCGGGAGCTCTGGGCCCAGGCAGGCGGCCCAGGCAGGCAGAGCCCCAGAGCTGCTGCTGGGCCCCTCGAGCCACAGGGCAGCCCCTGAATCTGCTGAGCCCTGTGAGGCAGCGTGGAGCACGCCATCTGACTAGAGCATGCCCTCTGCCTGGCACATGGCCTGTGGCCACCCTCACTGCCCCCAGTGGAGACCTTGCACACTGCCCTCTGCAGGGGGCTCTTTGGAGCTGCACTGCGATGGGCTTTCATGGGGACACATCAGGGAGAGGCACCTGGGAGGCAGGTGGACAGAGCAGAGCTGGGCAGAGGGCAAGGCTGGAGCACAATGCAGGCTGATGCCCCCTTTACCAGCCAATGGGAGACCCAGTCCCCGCCCCCAAAGGACACAAGGCCAGCCCCTGCCTCTTCCTGCACAGCCCAGAGGGACCTGACAGGGTGAGGCAGCCAGAGGAGCTGCCAGGCCTCCCAGCCGCTGCCATCAAGTCCCACCCTGAGGGGACCTGGCCCGCCTCTGTGACCGGCAGTGCCCACTGCCTTCTGCCTCGTGTGCTGAGGAGGCAGCTGCAGGACCACCAAGGAGTCCCAGCCCTGGGAAGGAGAGGCTCAGGGCACAACTGAGGCTGACAGGCCCCACACTGTCCATAGAGATCCCCACTTTTTGCTCCCCAACTGGGACACTGGGGCTCACCTGGAAGCAGGACCCAGACCCCCATCCCCGAGGGGCTGAGCTCTGGGCACAGGGACTCCTCAGGCCGGGGGTCTGTAAGTGTCCACCTGCCATCACATATACGTGGGGGCACCAAGGGACACCCAGGGCCCTCCCCGTCCCTGCCCCCCATTGTGACACAGCAGCCCTGCCTCTGCCTGGCAGTCAGTGTCTTTGGCCCCACCAAGATGGCGGCATGGCTGGCTCCCTGTCCCCAGACACAGGAGCTCCATGTCCCCAGACACCAGCTGTACCTCCATCTCAGGAACATTCCTCAGGGCCGGCTGCATGGCCCATCACCAATACCTTTAGGGCCATCGTGTGTGCTGCCCCTGTGACACCAGTGCAGCCTGGCTCTGTAGCGGTGCCCTGTCCAGCACTGGGAGCGCTCAGAGCCGCAGCCTCTGTGTGGCCGGCGTCCCGGGCTGGAGGGCACTGGGAGGTGTGGAGCTCACTGCTTCTTCCCCTGAGAGGTGCAGAGGCCCTCACAGCCTGTGGTTGGATGGGGTGCCCCTGGGTGCTGGGTCCTAAAGCTTTCCTGTGCCAGCCCCTGGCCTCCTCAGGGGGCTCCCCCTCAGGAGCACACAGCCTGGTGGCCTGGAACCTCACCAGTGAGGTAGGTCAGTGTGGACCAGTGCGGTCCCTCACACCTCACCTCACTGAGAAACAGATGCCTAGGGAAATGGGTCACATGAGGTCAGAGTGGAAAATTGGAGGCCCTAAACCAGTGATGGGTGTCCTTGTAGGAAGAGGTGAGAATGCGGAGAGACACAGGGAGTGGTAGGACAGAGGAGGAGGGGGGCGTCCAGTGGTTCCTCAGCAAGACAAGCGTCCTAGAACCAATAGAAGTGGAGGAGGCAGGAGCCTGGGGAGGTGTGACCCCAGAAAAACTTGGCTGAGGGCTTCTGGCCTCCAGCTGGTGAGAGAATGAATTTATGTTGTTTAAACGCACACACACACTCACTACACACACACTAACACACACACACACACACACACACACACACACACACACCCCTTCCCCCAGTCCTGGGCTTTCACTGCCACTCCAGGACACCACAGGTGGGCGAACCTTACAGTGAATGAGGTGTGACTTCCACAGGGAAGGGAATGGCCCTGCATGGCATCTCCATTCCAAGCCTGAGGGTGTCTCCTGTCACCTCAGACAAGGGGATGAGGCCAACACCTTCCCCAGGGTTCCGAGGGCACTGATCTGGCCTGTAGGGTCTTTTTGGGGGACATAGCCCTGCAGGCTCCATGTCCCTATCTGGCCCAGGGCTCAGTTAGAACAGATTTCAGAGACCACAGGCAACACATCTCCTGTCCATGTCCAGCCAGGCATCTGGCTCCGCCCACCGTGCCTTACTGCTCAGCCCAGGAAGCCAGGTGCTGAGATGGTTGATGATTCCAGGCAAGTGGTAGCCGGGAGGGGTGGTGGGACCATCAGCCCTGAGCCCATCCTCCTGAGAGAGAGCCCTGTGGGGACACCCGGTGGCCATGCCTGCAGACATGGCCCCAGGCCCAGGTGTGTCTCACTCCAGCCTTCCCTCCACACCAAGTCCCAGGTCCTCTCCCTCCTGGCAGCGCTGGCCTCTAGTCACTCAATCTCATTCTTAACCCTGGAAACACTGAGGTCTGACTACACCCGCGCCCATAGGGGAAGCCCTACAGAATCATATCCCCCAGCGCCCAATGGCACTGCAGGCAGCCCACACCCTCCTGGTGGGCAGAGGGGACCTGGATGGGTGTAGACATCCTGGAAGCACCCATCCACAGGCCCATGGACAGGGCAGTCACTTAGGCAGAAAGTGTGCTGGAACCTGAGGGCCAGGGCACAGCTTCAGGCTGAGCTGTGTCAGCCCCTCCTTGCTCCCTGGGCGGAGGAGATCCCCAAGGGGGCCATCTGCAAGGTGGTGCCTTCCAGCTGAGTCCTGGGCCTCATTTTCCCAGAAAAAAGGAGTTCCTGGAGAGCTCCTGGTGCCCCGGAAACCCAGACTTCAGTCCCGGGCACATGAGGCATGCAGCTCCTGCTCCGTCTGCCATGGAGCTCCCACTCTCCCTAACTGGAGGGCAGCTGTCCTTGAAGGACCGGGTCACAGGGAGAGAGCAGGGCTTGTCCCCCCTGGCCTCAGGGCACTGGTCCTGAGCACTGGGCAGGGACCTCGAAGGCTCCACCACATTTTAGAATCAGGCTGGGGACCAGCCTGTGGCTGCGGAGAATGGAGCCCCCTCACCCACCATACTGGCCGCCTCAGGCTCCCCAGGTTCTTCTGGGTCCTGGCCCAAACCTGTAGGTGCAGGCACCCACCCCAGCCGGGCACCAGCCATGCCCCCCAAATCCTAACTCAGCAGGAACTGCACATCACTGCCTGGGGCAGGAGGGGCTCCACAGCCCCTTCTCACTCCTCCATCTGAGACAGAAGCTCCTCTGTCCTCTGGGAGGCCCTCCCACCCCCTGGGAGAATGGATGGTCTTTGAGGATCCTGAGAGGAGGGTGCACTGCGGTGCTTCTCCAGCAGGGGCGCCAGCGCTGGGAGAGCAGCCTCTGGGAGGATGGGGTCCCCCTCTCCATCCTCCTCTCTGGCAGCCTCCATCCAACCAGGATCAGGCTGCCAAAGGAGGCTGAGGACAGGGGTAGGAAGAGGGAAAACAAGGCTTGTTGCTGGCCCCTGCAAGTTCTGCTGCTCAGGAGAAGCTCTAAATGGGAGACTGAGGTTCAGCATACAAATGGGACGGGACTTCATTAGGTCCAAGGAGTTGATCAAATATTAGAAAATGAGGATTTGGCTGCACTGGGTCAGACAGAGCAGTGGTGACTATGGAAAACAATACTTCCTGTTTGTTTGTTGCCAAGTCCAAGTCCTTCAAAGCATCCATTCCACACTGACCAGAATGGAAGGAGGAAGAGGGAAGGTGTGGGCCACTCCGGGAGCCGCCCGCCGGGCTGTGGTCTCCAGCTCAGGCAGAACACTCCTCCTCCTCCCCAGCCAAGAGAGTCCACCCATGTGGCCCTCTTCCACGCTGCAGCCATACTTGCCCATCCCCACCTGGTCCACCTTCCAGAGCCTGGTTCCCCACCAGGACGGACCACCCATGGCACCCTGGCCCGGCCCTCAGGTAAGTACACTCAGTCCAGAGCAGTTTTCATGCAGTTTAATGAACTACAGAGGGTGGGGAGGAGGCAGGAGGCCTGCAGTGCCCCGCCTGACCTCAGACCACATCCCTCCTCTCCCTTTTGCCTGTCAGGGGTCACAGACTGATGGAGGTGGCAGAGGCAGGAGGATCTCAGAGGGACTGGCGGTGAAGGAGGGTGCTAGGTGCTGTGAAGAGCTGGCATTGGGAAGGAACAGTGAGATCCTCAGACACCATGGAGAGCGTGTCTTCATCTCACATGGGCAGCACCCTTGCCCGGCCCCGGGCTCAAGGAATGGAGGGAATATGACGGCGAATCCAAGGCAAGTAGGATGTCACTCGGGCATAGACTCCAGGAAAGTCGGGAAGACCGCACTTGTATGACCAACTCACCACCCCTACCTGGACCCAGGTTTGGTTCCATTTACAGACCAAGGGGCCCCCAGAGTCACCCTGTGGGAAGAAGAGACAGGCAGTCAATACTCAGGGTCCCTGCAGGCAGGAGCAGTGGACGAAGGCCACAGTCTGGGGGTCTCACCTGACAGGCGTCCCGGCCCGGGCTCCCTGCACACAGCATGTCGTCCTTGACAACCTTGTCGATACGGAGGTATTGCTGCCTACAGATCTCATCCGGCACAATGGGGACCTCCACTTCCTGCAGATTGTAGGGCTCTGGCAGCTGCTCTGTGAGAAGAAGCCCAGTGAGCCTGGTGTCCTGAGGGGCGTCCAATCACAGGCTACGATTCTAGAACCTCACACTGAGTCTCAGCGCCCCCAGGGGGACCCTGGGAGTCACGGAAGACCCCAGCTCTCCGGGTTCATTTTAGGACAGTGGGATGATCATCTCTAGGCTGACACTGGGGGCAACAAGATCCAAAAAGAAACAGAAATATATTTTTTATCCACAAACAATTTTATTGGGAAAAATAAGAGCAAGTGCTTTCCCCTGAGAAATGCAGAGTGAGCGGCCCTCCTGTCAGATTTCACTTTGTCCATTTAACAGTGAATCCTGGAGCAGGTCACTGGAGTTCTCCCTCCTCCTCTCCATCCCACTAGGGAGACTCAGGGAGAACGGGACCCCGGAAGGGAGCACACAGGCCTGGTGCAGAGTGAGGAAGACAAATGCCTTGGTTAGAGCACTGGCCCAAAGCGTCCCAGGTCTGATTCTTGGTCAAGGGCAAGGACCTGGAATGTAGGTTCAATCCCCAGCTCCGGACGGAAGGCAACTAATAGATATGTCTCTCAGATCGATGTTTCTCTCTCCCACTCCCTTCCACTCTCTCTAAAAATCACTGGAAAAAATATCCTTGTATTATACTAAAAAAATTAAAAATAAATTAAAAATGCCCATGTCCATGCCTCCCTCTTGCTACTTTGGTCTCTGCTCCTGAACAGAATCCTCTCAGGCTGTGTGCCTCCTACACCCAAGGGAGATCCCAGAGGGACCCCAGCTGCAGCCTCCTCTGTAAAGCCTGCCCTTCTCCCACCAACCCCAGGGCATCATCCTCAGTGTCCTCCTCCCACTCATTCTGGTTCTTACCTTCAGGACCAATCCTGCCCCAGCCAGTCACCAAGCACCGGGTGCCTGTGGGGAATGCATAGGAGGCTGGTGGGAGGCTGATCCACTTGATGAGGTTAGATGGTCCCACGGAGGCCTCCAGTTTGAGAAGTGCCACGTCTGCCCCACCTTTTACTCGCTCCTCAATCCTGTACTCCGGGTGGCGGATGATCCTAGCCACCATCACACTGTCATGCCATGAGGGTCTCACTCCTCCTAGTTGGACCTTAAAGTGCTGATGTTTTGGGTTTTTCCTGGGGAAAGAGGCCAAATACTTCTGAGAGGCTGTGGCAGGAAGTGGGCCAGCCCCTCAGAGCCCAGAGACCTCCCCTCTGTGGTGGGCAAGGGGAGCTCCAGGAAGCTGAATCCTGGTGGGGGGTCTGCACCAAATGAACCCAGGATCTGCCCACAGCACACATCACATGCCTCCCATGTTGTCCCCCACCCCCATGCTGGGTGCTGGCAGAGGAGGGACTTACCCTGGAATGCAGTGGGCAGCGGTCAGCACCCACTGGGGGTCGATGAGGGAGCCCCCACAAATGAGACTCCAATCCAAGTCAGCTTCATTCCGGAACCACAGGCCCACCTGCCACGGCCACGCCCCCTTTGAAGCATCGTGTCCTCCCACGATGCCCACCAGCTCAGTCCCTGGGCCGGGATCTGGGGAAGCAGAGGAGGAGCCATCAGGGACCCAGGCACCACTTCCCGGCACTCAGCATGGCCCCATCCTCAGTCCCTCCCACAACCATCTTCAGGGGGATCTCCACCCCATCCCAGGGGCGGCCTCTGAGAGGTCAGAGTCAGGGGATCAGAGACAAGCCAGGCCTGGGGGTCAGCACCCACCTGAGGTCATAGGCTCAGAGCCCCCCAGACAGGGGAGAGTCAGGACCAGCAGCCACATCATCTGAAGGGGGAGAGAGGAGGGGAAGGGGAGAGCCAGTGAGGAGATCTGGGGCAGGGACCTGGGAATGGACAGGATGTGGCTTTGAGCAGCGTCCTCACCATGCTAGGCCTCTCTGCCTTCTACTGCTGGACCCCTCTGAGCCCCTTTATGCTCCTGCCCAGACTGCCCCAATGGGATGCCAATCTCTTTTGGGGTGGGGCATAGAAGAAGTCGGGGCTTATCCCTTCAGGGGGATCAGCGATGACCAGTAGATCAGCTATCAGACAGGAAATATGTGGGGTCCTCTCTGAGAAGATATTCAGTATTGGTGTTGAAGCCTTAGCTGGTTTTGCTCAGTGGATAGAACGTCAGGCTGCGTACTGAAAGGTCCCAGGTGTGATTCTGGTCAAGGGCACCTACCTTGGTTGCAGGTTCTTGTAGAAGGCAAACAATCAATAGGTCACATCAATGTTTCTTTCTGTCTCTGCCTCTCCCACTCTCTCAAAAAACCAATGGAAAAATATCCTTGGGTGAGGACTCAGAAAAAATAAAAACAATAAGAATATTGGTTCTGGATACATTTCAATAGTAAGATGATAGTGCACATGAAAAAGAAACAAATGTGATGCTTTGCATCATCCAATACACGGAAGGGTCTCAGGTTCGATTCCCAGTCAGGCCGCATACCTATGTGTTCATTCCCCAACCAGGACAAATACAAGAGACCACAGATTGATGTTCCTCACACCTCTCTCTCCCTTCCTCTCCCTAAAATCGATAAGCCTATCCTCGGGAGAGGAACTAAATAAATAATTAGTAAGTCAGATGCTCTGAAACAAAACAGAGCAGGGGCACAGATGGGGTGGGGGCTGGCTCCTGAGCCAAAAGGGGGGTGAAGAACAGCAGCAGGCCCAGCCTCCCCTGCCCCCTCTTACTTTTGAGGCTCATGGTGCTCCCCAAAAAGAATAGACTCGCTGGACCTGCAGACAGAGATGGCCAGCAGCACCATGAGATGGAGGAGGCAGCTGCCCTGGGGCCTTTGGAGGGAGTGGGACCTGCTGGCACCTTGATGGTAGACTTCCAGCCTCCAACACTGGGACAGAATAAGGTTTTGTCTAAAGGTCCAAGTTTGTGACATTTGTTAGGGCCGCCCCAGGACACTCAGACCTCTGCTCAGCTGTCCGCATCCATCCTATGCATTATCAAGCTTTGTCAACATGCAGGGCAAAGGGTGTGAGAGGTGCCGATTTACTGCTAGTTCTCCTCACCTCTCCTCACGTCCTGCACACTCCCGGCACCCACACAGCGCTGGGAGCCAACCTCCCCTCTCACCCTCCCTGCTTTCTGCGTGGAGGAGCTCTGTCCCCCAAGTCCAACCCCAGGACTAGGCCGGCCACCCGCCAGGCACAGGCTTTTCCTCCCTTTGACATTCTGAGAATCATTCTCCACCAAGCATGGGATAGGACCAGACAATGCTCTGAGAGGAGAAGGAAGAGGGGCTCCCACACTCCTGAACCACGCCAGGTTCTCTCTCCCCATGAGCCCAGCGAGGGGACCACCGAGGGATACGTTCCAGCACTTAGGTGAGCTCACATCCCTAGAAACCCATCATTCCCTCCTGGGGCCAGAGTCCCTGTCACCCTTGCTGAGATGCTGTTGTGTCCGGGGGCACCTAGAATCAGAATCCTCAGGGGACACTGGGAATCTCCACAGGAAACAACCAGGTTCCCACATGGCCAGGGGCCCCATGGTGGGGGGAGTGAGCACCCAGGAGGGAATGGGCTGGGCTCACAGACACAGCAAGTCATTCAGGCCCGGGGGCGAGACATTGGGTGATAAGGGCGGGCTTCCTCCCTCCCTGCCTCTAGTCTGGACTGAGGCCTGACCTTTACCCACCTCAGCAGTGGATGTGGGTTGGGGCTGGTTCCCAGGCCAAGATGACAGGAAGGTAAGTCACAGAGGGATCAGAGAGAAGCCACAGGCCCCAACGCCCAGCCTGATGCTGGACCCAGACTTCCCGCCCCCCACCACCAGGCCTGAGACAATGACAGCATTTGATTAGTTCGAGCAAATCTGTCCAAAACACAAACAAGAGGTTTCAGGGTCTTGGGAAGGAACCACGTGACTATCATTGGCAGATCATACGATCTTCTTCTCAGAAAAGCCAAAAGCCTCACTTGAAAATGTTTTAAGATGAAGGTTCCCAAGGTGTCTGCATGCAAGATAAATGTTTTAAACACAAATCAGGAGAGAAAGAAGCAGAAACTCATCTGTTACTCTCAGTGTAACTAATGCGAAGCCATGATGATAAAGACTCCATTCATGGCTGGGCCCTTACATTCCTAAACCAGAGTCTGTAACAACCACCAGCTTCCTTACAAGGAAATTCACAAAAAATAAAATGTCATTCAAGGTTAAAAAGACAGTGTCATCAAATATCAACTCTTCAAATCCCAATAGAATGTGAACTGCAGGCAAGTCTGGAATATTCAATGTGACCCCGAAGTGTGTCTGGGGGAAAAGACTGGTGGGGATGTCCCAGGAAGCCACAGGGCAGAGGGAGGCCAACGAGGCAGCTGGTGCCAGAAAGCTGTGGAAATGGGAACCCAGTGGCCTCCCAGTGAAGTGGGGTGCCTGAATGGCCCAATCAACCTGCCCATCCTCCTGGGCCCAGCCTCGGTGACAGCACAGCAGCAGACAAAGGCACGGTATCAACTCAGAGCAAAGAAGGAAGACCCGGCATCAGTGATGGCCGCTGGGAATAGAAGGAGGGGAGGAAGAAGAGGGGCTTGGGGAGAAGTGCAGCCCACTGCTCTGGAGCTTGGTATGAAGCAGGACACATGGAGGTGGGGCCACCTTGAACTTGATGGGCCTAGGCAACTCAGATCTTGGCAGGGGCTGGAGAGGGTCACCCCGCACAGAGGAAGATGGTGAGAGCCATGAGACTGGAATCATGGTCAGGACCCAGGCCCTCCTCTCCCTCCTGCAGTTGGGGTCACCCCAGGAGGAGGGGGAGTGATCCATCAATAGACAACCTTTGGTCCCGGCAAAACAGAGGAATGGGCCGAAACCGGTTTGGCTCAATGGATGGAGCGTCGGCTTGGGGACTGAAGGGTCCCAGGTTCGATTCCGGTCAAGGGCATGTACCTTGGTTGCGGGCATGTCCCCAGTAGGGGGTGTGCAAGAGGCAGCTGATCGATGACACTCTCTCTCATCGATGTTTCTAACTCTCTATCTCTCTCCCTTCCTCTCTGTACAAAATCAATAAAATATATTTAAAAAAAAAAAAAAACAAAAAACAGAGGAATGGCATCTGGGAATCCCAGGTTTCCGCCCAGTCGCCTTAGAACAGAATCAAATAGTCCACTAGCCAGCCAGGCTGATAGATTCCAGGCAGCATTTGATCTGTTAATAAACACAGTTGTTTCTGTTTATTAGAAAAATATTCTTGCACCCAATGGTGTGGCTCAGCAGGTGAGTGTCAGCCAAGGAACCAAGAGGTCGCTAGGTAGCCGAGAACGGTTTGGCTCAGAGGATAGAGCGTCGGTCTGCAGACTGAGAGAGGTCCCTGGGTTGATTCCCAATCAGGGCACATGCCCAGATTGTTGGCCCAATCCCCAGTCTGGGACGTGCAGGAGGCAGCTGATCAATGATGTTCCTCTCTCATCAATGTTTCTATCTCTTTATCCCTCTCCTTTCCTCTTTCTAAGTATACTTGTTTATGGTGGTAAGTCTTGGCATAAACAAGCACAAAATTTAAATGATTTGTTCTTACATATGATAAAAACTGTTGGGGCTGCCGAGGCCGGTTTGGCTCAGTGGTAGAGCGTCGGTCTGCAGACTGAGGGGTCCCAGGTTCGATTCCGGTCAAGGGCATGTACCTTGGTTGCGGGCACATCCCCTATGGGGGGTGTGCAAGAGGCAACTGGTTGATGTTTCTCTCTCATCAACGTTTCTAGCTCTCTATCTCTCTCCCTTCCTCTCTGTAAAATATCAATAAAATATATATTTTTTTAAAAAAACTGTTGGGGCTGATCAGGAAAGCGTTTAATTGGAAAATGAGAAACCAAAGTAAAAACAAATGGGGGGAAAAAAGGTTATTCAAACCTTTTCAACTAGCAATGATGAGAAATAGAAGTTTGAGTAAGTTTTCTGGGATGAAGGAGAAGACACTGAATTCATGATACAAAGATTACCTACTGTTCCCTTCTCAGATCAAGCAGATAATAATCAAGTGCCCTTGGACATTAAAAATATAACAGAGGCCTGTGGACGTTTTCCATGTGTTTGGATGCCATAGATATCTTAGAATCAGTGTCTCTTGGGAATGGGCACATTTCATTTAAAGAAATAAGGTGGAAGATAGTGCCATAGGTAAATACCTAAACTGCTGCCTCGCACAACAATTTCAAAACTACAACTAAAAGACAAAACAAACATCATCCAAAACCACAGGAAAGCTGGCTGAGTGGAAATTCTACAACTAGAAGGAAAGAGGAAAGCACATGGAGAATCAGAGGAGCTCAAAAGGCTAAAGTATTGAGATGGGCATATGGGTGACTGAGTGCCTGGAGGGCTTTCTCTAGCAGGAAGGAGATAAAAGCTCTCTACTGCACTGAACCCAGTTCCGACTGCACTGAACCCCAGTTCCGGGCAAGACCCTCGTGACCCAGGCTTCTATGGGGGAAATCTGGACTATCAGGTGGAAACACAGGGAAGCTGTGAAAGGCAGAGGTCTGAAGGTGTGTGCATAAGTGTGTGCAGAGATAACTGACTGCTGAATGTGCCACTGGCTTTCTCTAGCGCTTAAGAAATGAAAGCTCCCCCAGTACACTAAACTCCAGTTCTAGGCGATAATCTAGGAATGCAGATTCATTGTGGGAGAAACTGGACTGTCTGGCAGTGGGAAAAACTCAAGAGTGGCTTACTCTCAGAGGTGCTTACAGCGATTACTGAGGGACACTGAGACCCAGGGGCCTCATAGGGCAGGAATGATGGAAAGCCAAGACTGTCTGCTCAGCCCTAAGACTCTACCCCATCCAAGCTGAGTACAGAGGCATTTGCAATTTTGCAAGTCTTGTCTCATAAGGCTGTCTCCAGCACAGAAGTTCTCCCAGCATAGACACAGCTGATCCTCACAGCCAGTTGGCCTAGAGGTCAAGTCCTCCCA